GTATGCATGTGTGCGGCCGCATGTGATTTTACCTGTGCGGCCGCATGGTGTTGTTTTCAGCCTCCTCTTTCGTCGCTTGATAACAAATTGATCCAAGTTGATTCGGCCTTCGACCCGAACATGAAAGTTGCTCCATTTTGAGTCCCGAACATGGTTCCATTAATGGTTTCTTGAACGAGAAATCACATCGCTTGTTTCACTTGCTTTGCCCTTGATCGCGTCATTGGTCCGCCATCGACTATCAACAGGTCTCGTCTCTTACTTGCCTTCATCGGGCTCGACTCCTGGATCATATCATTACCTCTTGTGCTGGGGTAGCACGCTTGTGTAATTATGTGATTCCGCACGTTGATCGTAAAACCATTGCTGCAGTTTCGTATGGATATTCTCAATCAGTGCGAGAATGGGTAACTCTCGATCCCTCTTAAATAATGTATTGAGAAACTCCGCGTTGTTTGACGTCATCATGTTGTATCGATGTCCTGGAAAATATGAGCGCGCCCAATGTTCAATCCCCATTTTCGTTAGATAGTCCCACGCCGAGAATGATTTGCTTCCTAATTCAACCATGTACCTATTACACTCTTCAAATACTGTAAGTTTCAGTCGCTCTCCTAAACAATGAAACGATGCCTTTGCCCTGATACCTGGTCTTCAAGTTGCCTTGTATATGGTACATGCAATACCCATGATGTACATCGGGATAAACTTCAGCAATACCATTTATTATAGACTGTCCCTGATCGGTGACAAATGCAAGGTCCTCGACTTCTCCGATTATTTTCCTTAGCTTTGTGAAGAACCAACGCATCGACAGATCATTCTCGTTATCAACTATGCCGAATGCAAGAGGATAAATTTGAATGTTAGCATCTTGACATGTAGCAATAATCAACTGACCTTGGTATTTGGATTTCAAAGTTGTACCGTCGACTAGAATTAGGAGTCGCATAGCATTTCGAAATCACCGAATGCATGGTCCAAGAGCCATAAAGAAGAATTTGAAGCAGTTATCGACCTCCGTCTCAATAAAAAATGTCGAGTCAGGATTAGTTTTCTCCATGTTATGACAATACCTGGCCAATTTAGCATAGCTTTCCTCTGCCGAGCCCATTAAATTCTCCATTGCGCATTCTTTGGCCTTTTGGTAGCTCATGACTACTTCGTACTCTCGACGAACATCGTTAATGATGTTCGATGATCTATAGATTGTCCGTGGATCCTAATACTTGTGCATTATCTGTCGACCAATAAATCAAGCTCGGGCTTGCCTGTGATCATTGCGATAAACTCCCACTTCACAAGTAAGTTCTCGTGTATATTTGCGAATTACGAAGCATTATAGGTGGAATCGAAACTGATGCATGCTCGTTAAAATTAAGTTTCAATTCCATGTTGTACTGAAAAGGATCAACATTCAACTTATTCTATAAATCATTAAAGAGTTCAGCATACGATGTACCTGATGATATGGAAATTGCGATACCACCACGTTTATCACTTGTCCATTTTCATACCATTGATTTTTTCGTCCAATTCGAAATCAACAAAGTAACAAACTGGGACTACAACCATATCTGCATGTCGAAACAGAATTTTTAATTACAAGAAAAATATCAACAACAATAAAAATAATCCAAAAAATGGGAAAAGAAGAAAACAGTTGGCAAACAGTGGGGCGGCTGTTAAACAGCCAGCCAAACAGTCGACAAACAGTCGGCTGTTTGGCCGGTTGTTTAACAGTCGGTCAAACAGTCGATTCACCAGTGCCGGCATAATAATATGCAAATGAATTTTTTCGGTCAAATACTTAAAAAATTACAGATCTATTACATTTTTTTCCCTACTAATCATTAAATGTCGAAATACAATTTCTATATTTAAACATACAATAATTTAACGAAAATAAGATTAAATTTGCGTATATAAACTTACCGAATCGACGAGATTGATGTCCACAAATTTTTCGACTTTCGATTTCGATTTCGATAAATTTTTAAATTTCTGCAGTTGAAGCAGATGAAGGATGAGAGTATTTTATTTATCTGTGTTGGAGTATCAGATAAGAAATGTAGGAAGTGTTTGATTTTTATTTGTTAAGTGAAAGAGTATACATGTCTTTTAAAAAAATCAACTTTTGTAATTGTATCATGTATTTAAAGATATTTTTGTCTTTTAACATTGGATAGACCATTTTCATAATATACATTTGTTAAGAAGTCAATGTGAAATTTGGATGATTTGACCATGTTAATTTTAAAAGTACCCCATATTCTTGTGCTTTTCCACGCATTTGGGTAACCGATTGAGGCGTGTTGACAACCATTGATGACATTGCTTTTGATAATCCCATTCAAATCATCAACATATACAGATTTTCATCAATGATCATTTGTACCGATAAATTTTTTATTATTCTAAAAAAGTTATTACAATAATTTTGCCTAAACCCCAAAGTTACTCGAGCCTCCTCTGAAACCGGTAAACAAGTCTTGTACCTTCCACATGTTTTGGTGATTGGCATAGGTGCATTGATGATCACTAATGGTATTGCTTTTGGCAATCCTATTCAATCACTAGCATATATTGATTTTTATCAATGATCATTTGCATCAATAATTTTTTATTAATATAACAAATTTCACTTAATTATTTTGCCTAGACCCTTGAAGTTGCTCGAGTCCCCTATGGAATTGATAAAATATTCTTCTACTTTCCATGTAATTTAGTATGCATTCATGATCACTGATGACATATCTTTTGGTAATCCGGTTCAAATCACTAACATATGTTGATTTTCGTTGCGATTATTTTCACCATTATTTAAAAAAAAAAATTGTTCCCTTGTTTCATTTGTCTAAAACCATCGAAGTTGTTCGAACCTAATCTAGAAATTACAAACACATCCTTTTATCTTTCACGCATTTCAGTGACTTATATTATCTTGAAACTTTTGAACAATGTTAAAAATGATGCTCGAATGTTTACAAATTTACCTATTACACATTGTTTTGCAATTATCTAGTTTTAAAGATCGACCAAGCATGTTGTATTATATCGTCCCTAGAGGAGTTGTTCGATTGCAATTTTCAGGGTGTTCTCTTCCCACGAAAAGTGCAGCTTAAGTGGGGTACCCTTCTGGGGCATTAAATAGTCAAAGTTGCCCCTGCTTTTACAGTCAGTCGTTTGCCAGTGACAATGTTGACTCCACCATCTCTCTCTCTCTCTCTCTCTCTCTCACACACACACACACACACACACACACTCTATCTATCTATGTATCTATCTATCTCTCTCTCGGTAAAATGAGATCTAGAGAGATGATTTCCATTAATTTACCCTTTTCAGAGCAATTCACCTCAGATTCTACTATGTGGAAGTGTTTACTTTTATCAGTCTGTAAATACTCTCTCTCTCTCTGCTGTCTTCGTGTCTGTATGTGAGGGAGAAAGGTGTAGTGTGAGGGTCGCTTTCGTCTTCTCTGATTCTCATGAGGAAAATGACTCATCATCTTCCCCTTTGGATTTACTTATTATTCAGTGGTGTTCCGTATTTTATGCGATACCCTACACAATTTTGCATCTCCTATTATTGTTATTCCTTAGAATATATGAATTGATCATGTCATATGCTGCCTTATCCTGCTTTTGTTTATCATTTTGATAGCCAGTGGAGTGACACTGAAACCCTTCTGTAGTTTCATCAAGAATGAAAATGCACATTATTTAACTTCATTGGAGATTAGGGTTTCTTCTGTTCTTTGAACCTTCACTTTATTAACAGACAAGAAGTAGTAGCTGAATATCGGTATTAATTTTTTCACTTTTTATTATTCCTAGGATTTCAATATATTTCCAACTTTTGGGGGGTGTTTTTTCACAAGAAACCCATTTGTTTCTCCCGACAATTACTATTGTTATTATTACTTTTTCTGTTTTCTATTTTATGATCATAAATTCATAATGGTGTCACATTTTATGGACTGACTGATTTTTTGTTTCACCTGATTTTCATTATAAATTATATCTGTAAGGTGGGTTTTTCATTTTTGTTATATCTGCCCTGGAATTAGGGTTTTCGGAAAGAGATTTTGAATTCATAGTGAATTTCATCATCAAAAAGGTATGGTCACTGTTAAAGATTCTTGAAATTTATGATTTCTATGGCTTTCTTTCAATCATCCATAAAGTTCAAATTTCAATTATTTTTTATTGAACTTAATTAAGTTTGTTAAAATAATTTTACAACTGTCACTGTTCTTGATTGTTTTTCCTTTATACTCCTGTTTTTGTTGGTCTTTTCATTTTGTTGAATTGCTTCGATATATTTGTAAGCTAAATTTAATTGATGGCATTATATAAATTATCTCGATTATTTCATTTCCTCTCATGTTCTTCTAGTTATTGGGTTCTAGTATATTACTTTGAGCAGATTTCTTGTACTCATTTTTCCGTTTTCATGCCAAAAAAGAGAGGAAACGTCACGATCATATATTTGTTTGTATTGTTTATTTTTCTTTACTTTCTGAGGCTTGTGGTGATAATTATATGTACTCTCCGTGATTTGAAGTTTCTGTAATTGTTAGTAATATTATGTACTTGGAAAGTACGGAAGTAGTTAAATAGGGAGAACCAATGTCTATGTATCTTTTATCCATTCTTTCACTTATTTTATTTGATAGTGAAAAAGGCAAAAGACAAGTTGATTTTTGCTTCTTTAATATAGATGGAGGATATCTCTTTCTCAGCATTAAGTCACTGGTAAGCAAAATTCGATATAATTTAGCTGTTTTTAGTCTTACAATTTGAATAGAATGTACATATATTCATTGGGAATTTTTGTGGCGCTATTTGCCATGATGATTGTCTTCCATTTCTGCCTTGACAAGTATTGGAGCTAACTTTGATTGAAGTATGTTAAAATTTTAGTTGAACGGTTCTTTTCAAGTTGATCCATCTTTATGAATTTTTCTTTTTTCTCACAGGTATCTTTGGGATGCACTGGGAAATGGTCTACGAGAGCTTACTTCAGTCCACTCATGGACGAGATTAGGGGTTGAATTAGCTGCTGACTCATTCATTTAATCACTCAGTAGAATACAAAGTTTTTTGCTACTGTGACTGAGTGAATGATGCAGGAGATAGTTCTACATCCCACTTTTTCTGTGCTTGGACTGAAGGGAGCTCCTCTAGCCATTGCCCTCATTTTGTTTCTCCAGTTGTCTCGTCTTGTTTCTAAAAGACAAAGTCAGTTTCTCAGAAAAGTAGTTGCATGAATGTTGAACACCTATCTCCTACATTCTTCCACGCTGTTTTTATAGTTAAAACTGAAGTTTCTCAACTCTCTAACACTTTTATACAAGTTTCTCGAGTTCTTTAATGATCACATATCAGGTACATTGATATGGAATAGGAGGATGTTAATCCTCGCTTTCTTGAGAAAATATTACTGGATGGGAGTGATTAACTAAAAATATCTTGCTCGGTTCTGGTTCTTTCGGCAGTTATTGTAAAACATTATAGTTAATTCTATCGTGGGTAATCAGTTTCAACAACTATATATAATTGTTCTTACCTAGAAAAAGCTTGGTTCCTTCATTGATAAATCCTATCTGTCCATCAATTATGCATGATGAAATAGGACTTGTTAATGTATCTTGTGGGAGATGAGTAAGAGAAGCTCAGATGATGGAATCCCTGTTTTGCTTGTCGAAGAATGGCTTCAAACTGTTTTGCAGATTTCATTATTCATAACGGAAAGCTCCCTTGTGCATGTTACAAGTTAGTACTTGGTTCCTTTTGTTAATATTTTCGGACATGTTTGGTAGGAAGGATTAGATTATACCAATAATATCAATGAAGATAATGAGCTAAAATCATGTATATTTTAATCTCCAGACCTTTAAAGAAGAAAATAAGCTAAAATGATGTTTATTTTAATCTCCAGGCTTGTCGAATACAGAGTACTGTGTACCAAGCATACACTTCTACTGTATATATTTTCCACGATGGTGTGTTGCGTGGAGATCATGAAGTTTATCTGCAATACCATGTTGATTTCACTTCACTTACCATCGGCAAATTTATTGGTACGTTTCAAATGTAGCATATTATATCCACAAGAAAAGCTCGTGTAGTTTGATTTTCTTGAACTGAGCTTGGCTTTTGCACTCAGTTGTGTTAAGCATCATCAGAAATACTCTTTTTACTTTTATGATTAACTACTAGATCTCCATTCAGGCTAAATCTTGTACTTTTACTGTCCAAATTTTGTAGAAAAAGTGCACTTATCGAATTATAAAATCATATATATCTGCTTTAAAATCTCATTATCTGTTTCATTTTCCACTTTGTTTATGGTTTTAAGTACATTTTTAAGCTAGTTAACTACTATTCATTATCAGGCCATGCAACTTTTGGTTCCATTTAAGGCTGCAAGATTTTAGGACAATGTGATATTGCCAAAAATGGGATGAAGGACCTAATTGTAGTTAACGTCCCTTTTTAGGAAATTGGAGCTTTGTCTTGAAATGATTAGCATTGTTAAGCTTTATTTATGCTTTTAATCTTTTATTTATCCATAACCTTTTTATATGTATAGAATCAATAGATTCTATTTGTAGGGTGGTCCCCCCTCCCCTCATAGTTTTTAAATTGGGGTAAATGTCCTTCATTTTTGGTTCTTGATATTATATAAATTTATATGATGAAGAAGACAAAGTGGGCATTTAAATGTAGTTTGTGAAAGTGTACATTAATCTTCTTTGTGGTCCTAGGGTTACAAGAAAGAGATCTCTCTCTTTGGAGCACCTGAGATCAAGGACAACTCGTCCTACCTCTAAAGGCAGTCGAGGATTCATACGTCCCCAAATAGACCTAGCATCTCGAACAATCACCTCTTCCTCCAAGGCTATATCCGGGCTTGTGTAAGATCATTCAAGTTGAGAGTTTGAACTTAGACCGATGAAAACTCGATTCTTGAAAAGGTTAAAATGCTGTTTTATATTGATTGGTACACTTCCCTTTCTATGTAGCCCAAAAATCTAGGGCTCTTATGTGTAATTGGTCCAGCCCTCCACCATTTGGTGGTCCCCTATTTGTATTTTAATATATATAATAATTTAATTGATGGTGAAATCAAGGAGCTATATATCATTGGAGGGAAGATTTTGGCACCTCGTTGGGATGGGTAGTAGGTGGGTTGTAAAACGACATCGATGGATTACAAGAAATCTCTCATCGAAAGTTCAGGCTGGCCGGCAACAACATCGACATCTACACGTCCAGATTTAATTTTAATAAAAGGGTACCAATGAAATTAACTCGAGCAAATGTTAGAACCAAAATATACTATTGCTATAGGAACATATGGGGGACGTTGGTACTCTGTTTAATCTGAAGTAAGTAGCTAAAGTTATTGCATTTTTAGAGTCTTGGGCCTAATTTGCTCTCAAACTTATTGGGTAAGCTTTGGACTAAACTTGTCAACAGGCCTACTCTATCCAGCCCACCGTCTTGGGTTACATGGCCCGTTAGAAAGACAAAAATTGCTTATTCCTTTTACTATTTATAATTTTTTTTTCCTTATTCCTTGTTTTATTTCCCTTTTCTTTATTTCTTTTTTTTTCAATAAACAATGATTACTCGGCCTAATTCTCTTTGGACTTTATATTTCAATATTACTAGTTAAACTAGGTCATATCAAATTTCAGTATAACTTGATTGTTAAATTCACTTTTATAGAGTGCATATATGAAATTTGACTTTTGAAATAAAAAAAAAAAGATAATAAATTTATTTTTCCTTATAAGTTACAAATAATTATTCTTATCTATTATGAAAAATCTAAATATAATATTAGAGAGGAACATTTAGCTCGATTTTATTAAAAATCAAATTCTTGGTAGATTTTAATATAAGTTGATAAAGTGAGTGATTGAAAAAATTTATAGAAGTGGTAGGTTTCATAAAATTAGGGTTAATTGTAGTTGAGGTCCCAAATCTTTTAAATTGTTGTTGGCCTTTTCCAAATCTTTCATTTTTGAAGGAGGAGTTCCAAACCTTTCATGTCTGATATGGTTGGCGGACATGTGGATAGAATTTATCCATTTGACCATTAGTTGACCAAAAGTTAATGAACTAACCGAATTATCGCATAGAAATAACTTATTTTAAAAACTAAATTGAGAAATTTAAGCTTTAAATATGGTATATCCCAATTCCCAAATGTGCAAGTCATTACCTTCAGAATTCAAATCTCTCTCATGACGTGTAGGTTTTAGTCCATTTATTCATAAAAAGGTCTCCTTTTTTTTTTTTTAAATTAGGTCCTGTTTGGCCCCCATTCTCCTTCTCAGTTTTTTCTCTTATTTTCAATCACACAATCTTTCATAAAATAATATTATACTCAAATAAAAAACTTTTCATTCTTTTTCAACCACACATTTTTTAAAAACACTATTCCATCGATTAAAATTTGGAAAGAATGGGAGCCAAACGAGGGCTACATGTCTTACCTCATTTTATTTACTAATTCAAATTTTAAATTTTCAATAAAATAATATTATACTCAAATAAAAAACTTTTCATTCTTTTTCAACCACACATTTTTTAAAAACACTATTCCATCGATTAAAACACTTTTCACTATTCCCTCATTTTATTTACTAATTCAAATTTTAAATTTTCACATTTTTTATCCTATAAATACTGTATTTTAGTATGTTCAAGTAAAATGTCATAAACAACCACACTCCTACAATTAATTAGTTAACTAGCTTATATCTACTAAATGAAATATACCAAAGTTATCATCCGAAGAATAGTACTATTTACAGTAGCTCACTATCAGTCTTCCTACATGACATGTTTGTGACAGTTAATGATTTGATCTATGAGACAATAAAAAACTACCATATTAATGCATTTTAATACATGAATCAATTAAATATAAAAAAAAAAAAAAAAAAAAGACCTGATGACATTTTATGGGTCATACACACATGGTAACAATGAATAGAGGCAGCCGCACGTACATGTGAGAGAAAAAGAAAAAAAATAGAGCCAAGACCAAGGTAACAAATGGGCCAACCTTTATGAGCCTCCACGAAGCAAACGGACTATGGGGGCCGCTAATTAAATCAGGAAGAGGAAATTACACCCCTTACCTAGTATTTGATGTAATTTCATGAATTACTTTGTCATTAATTACGTTCAAGCTATACTGTTAAATTATAGTAAAATAAAGAACATATAAATCACCTCACTCATATTAAATAATCAATTGTGAGTTATTTATGTACTACTGAACATGCCACTAACTAAAATTCTATAAATTATAATAGATAGCATATGAACATATGTTTATGCAAATTATGTGTATCTGGATGGATTATTGAGCCGCGAATCAGAAAATAATTGACTCGTAAAACAAAAAATTATGTGTTTCTTCAACACGGAAACATTCATACCGGATGGATTTAAAAAAAAAAAATTCCCAAAAAGCATGTGTTATGGTTTGGCCAATGAAGTTTTTTTGAATTCTGAGATGGTTTAGAAACAACAACAAATGACCAGTCTAATCCTAGGATAATTGAAATTAATTTCAGTTATAAAGAATATATGGAATTTGTGAGCTTGCTGTGTGCACAAATGAGGGTCCTCTAAAACACACCTAGCATATAGGGGGTGATTTTTTTTTTTTTTTTTTGGGTACTATTTTATTCACATGGAACCCAACTCCATGTGAGTATTCTGTATTGTTTTCGTGAAAACATTTTTGTACAAATGGAAAAATTGATATAAATTGGGTATAAAGTATTTTCAAAAATATTAAACCATATGACAAAAGTAATACTTGAATTATAAAAATTACAAAATTACAAAGTAAATCTTGAATATTTATTTCGTAACGAGTTTGATATGTTGCGCAAAAAATCTCTCATGCAATTAAATGGTAGAAATTGTATTCTGTGGATGCATCCTATCTCTTGCTGATATAGCCAAGTCATCTTCCATCTTTAACCTGAATTTATCTATTTATTTTTGTCTAAACATCTTTGTTATTTGGTTGCTCCAGTGCTGATGACTATTCATTTCAATCATCTCCCGTGACTTCAGCTGTTTCAACATGCCGAGGGGTACTTTTACCAGCAGCTTTTGGTGTTGATGAATCATCTGTAGGTCTTCAGCCTCTTTTGTCCATTCAAAAGCAGAGCTCACTGATAATGAAGAAACAGTTACATTCTGTGTCTTGGAATCAGGAGTACAGTTGCTTTGCTGCTGGCACTAGCCACGGTTTTCGCATATATAACTGTGAATATTTCGAGGAAAACTTCAGGCAAGATCTGAAAAGCAAGGGATTTAAGATCGTGGAGATGCTGTTCAGATGCAATATTTTAGCATTTGTCGGAAGTAAAACCAATTCCCATTACCCTTCAAACAAAGTGATTATATGGGATGATCATCAGAGTCGGTGCATTGATGGGTTCTCATTTATATCCGAGGTTCGTGCAGTTAAACTAAGAAAGGATCGTGTTGTTATCGTCTTCACAATTTTATGGATTTAAAGCTTCTTCGCCAAATACAGACTCTGCAAACCCCAGGGGACTTTGTTGCCTCTATCAATGCCCATGACTCTCAGATAGCTTCAACGACCTTGACAATGTATGGACCTTTTCTCGCGACTGCCAGCATAAGAGGCACTTGCTTTATTTCCTTGACAAGTCCTTTCAAGTTTGTGAGTCGCCATATAGAAAGCATTTGAAAAATAATAATTGAAGTGAGGAATTAGCTGAGACCATTGCTTTGGACTGTTCTTCATAATGTCATTTTTAAGAACAAAACCATTGTCTGTATTAATCTAAGATCTGTTCAATTTATACAATCAAATCATACACAGCAGATTTACAGAAAAACCTAAACCACTGAATCAAGATTTAGATCTTTATTTAGGCTTAGACTATATGCCCTTTTAGACCATCACAGAGGCATCGAACTCAGAAACACGAGCCCTCACAACCCCAAACACAAAGTCGCTTCATTGGAACCGAAAATGGACAGACCACTTCCAACAGTTTACTCACACAAAGGAGACTAACACAAGGACACGATTATCACAAAGATAATCAACAGAAAATCTCACACAGACAAGAAGAAAGAGTCACAAAGACGAAGCCCTTGAAGGTTCCAGAAGACGCAGAGAAAAACAGAGAACAGAAAATGACGATCCAGCTGCCAAACAAAGCAAAGGGTCGTTTTTATAGTAAAACCCATCCATCGTTGATTAAGCGGGTTAATCCAACGGTCCAAGAGCGACTAGGATATATGGGCTGAATATTGGGCCCGGTTTAAGTAGGCCTTCTAGGTATATTAATAATGGACCATCTATTGATTCCATATTGGGCCTTTTTCATCACTGCCTATTAGTTGGACTGATCAAATGGCATCACAGCCCAACAGTCTGGTTTGAAGATCTTGTGTTAATTTTGGACAATATATAGAACTACTAGCTATTTCTGTAATCGTCATTTTTCTCTTGCATTTCTTGTGTTCACGAGTCGGAATTAGGATATAAGATAGTAGTCGCTGGACAAGAAATATTGCATCCTAACACGCCTATAATGTCGGGAGATTTTTCTATTTGACATGTTACTATTCCTTTTTATGGAAATGTCTATATTACTCTTAATGAAATGATTCTTTTTGTATTGCAACATATATTCTAATCTTTTAAACATTTTATCCTCTGTTTACTCTATTTTGGATATTTGAATATAAAATCATTCTATGATCTAATAAATAAGAATAATCTCCAATATTCATCTCATATTTTCTAATTAAAGTACTATATTCTTCAAATGGTAAATTTGTATTTTTTAATTGAGATATAATATTTTTTATTTTTTCTAACATTCTTTCTAATAAATTATCTAATCCTTCAATTGTATATCCTGACATTTATCAAAATAATCATCATGCAATTATCTCTGCGATTCTTTTAAGATCTTAAAAAGTTTAATAGTTTTACCTTAAGTTTGATCTAAACCTGTATTCTTAGAACCGAGTGATCTTCGAGCTCTGAATTTGTAAACTGCTTCCTTCAACGGCCTCCTACCTTCACGGAATTGTTACTATTTCAGCTACCTGCTCTTACTCTATCAACTTCTAAGGAATAAAATTCTAGACTTTTGTTAAAGAAAACTCTCTTTTTGCTAAAATAAGAAGGATACTTTTTATTA